GTGTGTGTGTGTGTGTGTGTGTGTATGTATGTGTATGTATGTAATGTATATATATATATATATGTATATATATATATGTATATATATAAAAAATTAAAAACAATAGTACCACAATACTAAAATAACAGTGATTTTGACTTCAGATGTTGTAACTAATCAAACAATCATACATAAACTAAACTATACAGTATTTAGAAAAGTATTTAAAATGTTTTAGATTTATTATAATCGTCTATGATACTGCTTGTAAAATAACAGTGATTTTGACTTCAGATGTTGTAACTAATCAAACAATCATACATAAACTAAACTATACAGTATTTAGAAAAGTATTTAAAATGTTTTAGATTTATTATAATCGTCTATGTCAACTAGGATACTGCTTGAAATGAAGAAACGAAGTAAGTGAAAAATACTGTGCATTGTATCTTTTTTTAAAAATGAACTAGAGCAAATAAATTCTATAGGTCTGGTGGTAAGAAAGATGAAAAATACTTTAAATTGTTTGCAAGAAGGAAGGCAGATTGTGAAGAGAAGATAAGAAGTTGACAACTGTGCTGTATTAAAACCTTTACTTACACATGGTACATCCAACAAAAACAGATTCTGAATTAATGACGATAAAGCAAACAGAAAGACATTTTTTTTCCTCCACACTCAGTACAGTCAATCAATTTCCACAACTGCTGGAGACAGATTAAAAACTAGACAAGAAAAATGAAGAGGGAAGGGTGTGGGGGGGAAAAGACCCCAAATAACAAGAGTTTTGCACTAATACGTCAGGATAGACAAAGATGTAAAGCATAAGAAAAGAGCAGTCAGAAAACATAGTGAGAAGCAATTTTTTTCTTTGTTTTGGTGGGAGTAGATTAAGAAAGTTCTTTCATATCAAGTCCGTAATCTCTTAAAGCCTCCCACTGAACAATCACCGTTTTCATCGGCCATCCATTTACAAATACAAAATCATCGTCATATAGCCCTCCTTCAGCTGTACATCCGTCAAACATGATCCTGAATGACTGAATCTAAAAAAAACATGTCCGGGTCACATTTCACCTAAAAATCAATAGGGAAACATTTTTAAAAATGCATCCTTCCAATTATTCTAAATAGTGATTTTCACTATTGTAGGCCAATGAGTTTGATTTAAATCAGCATAATTCACAATTTACAGTGATGAAAAATGAAAATGGGCATAAAAAAGTCCTAAAAATGCATATATACATTACATTACTATACATTTCCTTGTTTCGATTTTGTGGTGAAGCATGACCCAGACACATTCTTGACAGGTTTTGTGCAATTCACCAGTATGAACCCACTTGACTTTCACTCATATCTTACGCATCTCTCTCTCTTTACACAAGCAAACAATCAGTGATAAACCACAAACGCAGATAAAGCGAATCAGCTCTCAGACGGTAACGTGCATAACCTCTTCATTCTCAGGCAGAGATCAATTCAAGTTTGCACTGTGCATATTTCAGAGCACCGCTCGGCTTCAGACACAAATACAGGAGGGCTGACGAAAATTGCAGCAACGAGGCCTTAGAAAAAAAACGCACTAACAGAACCCTCTGGATCTCTGACTCAGCTCTGTATAAATAGTTGCAACAGGGGCTCTGTTTAGTGATCATCACAGTACACAGTCAACCAGTAGGGGTTAGTCAGGAAGACCCAGGAAAGCACTCCCCCCCACACCTGTTTGGCAGTGCTCAATCAGTTCAGGTGCATCATGGGTAATTCAGGGGTTACAAGACAAATGGTACGAAACCCGTGCAAGCCTTATATTATTATTTTTTTTTAATTTTTTGAATGAATGCTTTGCATCCCTAGAGAGCCGTTAAAAGATGAAATCACGAAAAAAGTCATTTTCGGGGAGAGAAAATAAAAGTGGACCCCAAAAGACAGGGAGGGTCGGCCACACAAAGCTCACAGCGTATGTCTGGATTAATATGCATTCAAGCAAAAGTCGATTATGGCAAACTGCAATCAAGTAATAGGAGACGGGGGCCATTGCACTCTTCAAGGAACGACTCTTGTATGCATCTTTCACATAGGACTTCTTCTGCATTGCTGCGCTCACACACACACACACACACACCCCATAGGCTGACTGACAACCCATGTGAAACACAAGCATACAGTGCACAATCAAATAAGCCTTCCCACTGTTCAGATATAAAGCAGACCATCAACATCAACCCATTTAGCTTCAATTCCTGGATAAATGGAAACTGGGTAGACAAAACATGCAAGAAAATACAGAAAACTAAACTACTGGGAAGCCAAATTTAAGGACCAGAGGTCAGTTGTTGATCACATTGAAAAAATTCGAAACAGGATTCTTCCTATCACTGGCCTTAACAAGACAAACACATGGGGAAGTTGAACTAGAAGATCCAAAGCTATCATTGGAAGTCTGGATTCAGTCATATGTCTATGGTTTAAGCACCTCGTGGATGTATAAAACACAGTAATAGGAATCTGCAAGTAGGTGGATAATCGTTATGCAGAAGATGGTGTATTTAAACAAGTTGGCGGCATATCAAATTCAAGCTTATTGGAGAAATTGCATATTTTGACCACTGCTGTGCGTCTATTTTGGTGTCAACATTTGTCTAACCTTTATCATTATTAGCACCAAAACATGTGGGACCATTTGCAATCTCTAGCTATTCTTCTATAGAAAAACTTCAAATACTGTCAAGTATTTGATCTCAAGTCTCTGCCTAAAATGACTTGGTTTGAGCCACAAAGACCAACAGGTTTTAGTAGAGAAAATGGTACGCACCATTAATACTGGTGCATTTGCTGGATTCTTTCCCTGATGGCATGTTCAGTCTTTCTCCAAGACTATACTATCGCTCTCACATAAATGCATAGATTGTGATGGATGCTGGTTTTGACACGTCGACCTTTCAGATTGAACGCAGAATTCTCACATGACCCTAAGTCTCTGTTGAATAAGACGGATGTGTTTGACAATACATTCTTGCAAGATTTAGTGAGTTGCTATGAGGGAAGCAACCTGTACGGAAGGAATGTAGAAGGCGATTCTAATACAACCCGTGAAGGATGGAATACACTAAATCTGAACAGATTTTAAAACACTAGGCATCATATACTTAATAAACTGGGCATCATACATTTAAAAAAAAATTAAAACTCATTGTAATTAGACACGTTAAATGAAAACAAAATGCTTTCTAAAATCGGCTTAAAATATCAAATGTGTTTGATATTCTCTGACTGGATGGAATCATAGTCTGGAGCTCAACGAAATTGGAGTCTGCACCCAAAATGCGATTTTCTGTGAAATCAATCAATCCCTGAATGTCCAAAATCAGCTGACTGGCTCCAACTTTGGGCAACTAGCATCAACTCTTCCAGACGGTTAATTGGGATAAAAATCGACTTAAAAATTGTGCAGTGCATTCCAGCCTTTAAACAGACCAGAATCACCCATGTTTTTTACTATGCCAAAGTTAGTACCAGTTAATTCTAAAAGAGCCTAATGACAAGCTGATTTCATGAACACAAAGGAAAAAGGCCTGCAACATGGTTCACATGGAAAGGACAAGAGTGGTTGGACATACTTCACAGCACACATACACACTATAAATTATTTGTCTTTTGGGGGGCATGGTGTGGATTTGGTTCCCATTTGAGGAATTGGTGACGAAATGGATCTTGGGGGAATTAAGAAATGGCAAAGGTATAAGGTCCTCTAGAAGGTACCAAAACCAATACCAGCCTATTTTAAAAACAACACAAATCAAGAAAAAAAACAAGGTCGACCCTCCTATTGCCGCCAAAAAAAGCAGGATTCTCCTGCGAGATTTAATCTGTGCCTTTAGGCCCTCCTTGGAACATGATCAAAAATTCATGTCCAACAAAACCTGCATACATTTATTCACAAATGTAAAACTCCAGCCTGCACTTCATAAGGGCCAGATGCAGCAGGCCGAGAATTTCCAATGCCGTTTATAAATCGGACTCATTTCATGAGTACAGTACAAAGTAGGATTTCAAGGTAAATGCACATCTCGTCAGTAAAGCCGGTCCCATGATTAGTAGTAAATCGCCATCACCTGCTTTCAGATGGAGCGGCATTTAATACACAGAGCCGTAGTTCACTGACAATTAGGCAATATCGCGTTCATAATCGCAGATGAATCGCATTCGATTATGAACGCGATATCGCCTAGCTTGTCAGTGAACTACGGCTCTGTGTATTAAATGCCGAAATCATCAAGAACTTTCAGGGTAACAATATATTGGTTTCTGGGATGTGTAATTAGTTAAAATAGTGATATATTGCAATAAAATTGTACAAAAGTAAAAATGTTAAATGCATAATGAGCAGCTCTAAATGTGTGCTCTGCCATTAATTGAAAGAGAAAATATAACAATGATTAAATGAACAGTGAAAGCAACAGATATTTGGTACAATACATTTTAACATGCATAACTAACCATGAACATGACTAAAAGAGGACAGATAATGTATAACTAAAGCTTTATGCTGAGCACTGCATGAAAAAAACTAAACAGGAAAACAGGTCTCACTGCATCCACTTCTTGGACTTGGAGAAAGTGTTAACAGCAGTATGAACTGACCGCAATATCTATGGACTTTTAAGGTAATCAGCTATCTTAGCTGGTTCTTTTTATTTTATTTGAATATCCATTTTTATTTAATTTGAATATCCATATGTTAGTGATAAGAACAATGACAACTTTTAGATATCAATTTGTGTATGCAACAGACATCGGTTATGCTCATCTTTGATAGCTCCTTTGAAGCCATCTTTAGTAAAAAAGTGCCATATATTTAATGAAACACATACATAAGACCTGAACTGGAAGCGATGCAACCTGTTTTTAGAAAACAAAAAAATACAACCTGCATTTTATGCAATTAAAATGCAGGTATCAGCAAGTACTAAAAATGAAAGTACCTGTATTGTATTCATTCTTGGAATCCCTATCATGAACTAACGTGAACTGAATGTGTATGAGTGTGCGGTCTGACCTGGGTTGAAGAGGATGATGGCTCTCAGGCAGCCCAACTCTGTTTTATCCATCTGCATGTCCCTCATCTTGCTCACCAGCTCCGTCAGCACCCTGATGCCATTAAAATGAGGGCAGGAAGGAGCGAGGGATGAAATGCAGTAAAAAGAAGATTCAGGTTAATATCCGAAGTACGACAAATCACAATGAGGCAATAGAAAAAAGCTCTGTGGAGCTGTTTTCATAGCCTCTACAAAATATATTCAAAACACATCTTAAAAATCCCTGGTAATGTAACACCCTTCAGATTTCATCTTAACAGGACAAAAAGAACAATCAGAAATTAACGTTTTAAAAACATAGCATGCCACATAAAACATCAGTCACTCTTGTTAACCTGCAAGTCCAAGCAACGCACTCAATCACACAGACACAAGGTCAGTTTGGTCTTTACCGGCCCCAAACAGCCCCAGACATAATTTAATCCAAAATAAACTGTCTCAAGCTACAGGCTTTCCTGACTGCTGCTGTGTGTTCATGGCGTGTGGCGGAGTGTCATTACCTGTCAAATATGGCCCCAACCTCTGCATTGTGCGCACTCTCCCTGTGTGTTCAATCACAATGTGTTATTAAAATGTCATTTTACATTTCATTGTTATATAATGTCTCCCCGCTCCAGAAAGGCCCAGGCAGAGACGTTAAGACTCCACGTATGTTGGCGGTAGGCCCAGTTCAAAGAGTAACAAGCTACAGGCTCTTGTTGAAAGGAAGGCAGACGGATCATGGGTTGGCAGCAGCAAAGCTTGAAATGACAATTCCCAGCACACAACAAATACAATATGATATGAACAAAGAAATATTTGACAGGATAAACCCAGGGCTCAACAATAAACATATACACTTTAACTTGTTCTTGTACATGTCATGTAAAAAATGTACGTGTTTAAAGGAACACTCCACTATTTTTGAAAATAGGCTCATTTTCCAACTCCCCTAGAGTTAAACAGTTGAGTTTTACCGTTTTCGAATCCATTCAGCCGATCTCCGGGTCTGGCGGTAGCACTTTTAGCTGTAGCTTAGCATAGATCATTGAATCTGATTAGACCGTTAGCATCTCGCTCAAAAATGACCAAAGAGTTTCTATATTTTTCCTATTTAAAACTTGACTCTTCTGTAGTTACATCGTGTACTAAGACCGACGGAAAATGAAAAGTTGCAATTTTCTAGGCCGATATGGCTAGGAACTATACTCTCATTCCGGGGTAATAATAAAGGAACTTTGCTGCCGTACCATGGGTGCAGCAGGCGCAATGATATTACGCAGCCATATCGGCCTAGAAAATCACAACTTTTAATTTTGGAGTGGGCGGGATTATTCACATGTCGTTATAGTTGCGCCGCCTCTACTGCCGCAACTCCTGAAGAACTTTTTCGTTCCGCGTCACCCCATCAAGCTCGCTGGATCCGTTCCTCTGCTATCAACGAGATGAACGTCTGGTTGAGTGCAGTGTAGAGAGTAACACGACCCCTCCTCCTCCTGTTGGTGCGAGCGAGCTGTCAGTCATGTGTGTGTGTAGGATGGCTTCCCCTGGAACTTACGCGATCAGCAACCAGCCGTTTTTTTTGTCTTATTGCAAGCAACTCGTCTCTGTTCTGGACTTGCACAAACTGCGTTGCAATGCAATCGTTTTCCAAAATGTA